CTGCTCTTCTGCTCCCCTGTCCACACGTGCAGCGAGCATCCAGGGCAGCCTCTGCCCCCGGGCACAGGGGTGAAAGGACAAGGCCCCTCCCCCATGGCGCTTCTGTCACTAAGCCAGCTGGCCTGCCGTGGTCAGATGTGACGTGTGGAAAATAAGCCATGGAAGGGACAAGACGGGCAGGGTGGAGGCACAAAGATTTCCTGAGCTGAGACTCTAACCAGGAAAGAACCTAACCTTCTGATGCAGGGGCAGAGGGAGCGGTAAGTGCAGGCAAGGAGAAGAGGGATGAGCCAGATGGCAGATGCGGGGAGCGGGCTGTGGGGCTGGGAAGGTGGATGCGCTCTCATCTGACTGCTCGCTTTGATGTTCTCAGTGAAATAAGAAGCAAGACCTCTGGCTGAGAGGGAGGGTGGGGGAAGCGGTGACTTGAAGGAGAGAGAAGGGTACATGGTGTGGCCAGCCAAAAATAACCCTCAGAGGTGCCCATCCTCATCCCTGGAACCTGTGGCTATGTCACCTTATGTGGCAAAAGGGACTCTGCAGATGTGGAGTTAGGGATCTTGAAGGAGGAAGCTTATGGTGGATTATCTGGGTGGGCCCAAGGTAGTCCCAGGGGTCCTCATGAGGAAAGAGGGTGGCGGGAGGCCAGAGTCAGACAAGGAGATGTGATGACAGATGCAGTGCTTTGAGGACGGAGGAAGGGGCCATGAACCAAGGAATGCAGGCAGCCCTTAAAAAGCCAGAAGAAAGGAAACATTCTCCTCTAAAGTCTCCAGTAGGAACGTGCCTGGCCAGCACCTTGATTTTAGACCTTTGACCACCAGAAACCTAAGATAATAAATCACTGCCATTTTAGCCACCCACTTTGAGGTGGTTTGTCTCAGCAGCCCCAAGAAAGTCATACATGGGGCTCCTTGGAGAAAGGGAACGTGCCGTCATCCTCTCAGCTCCTCCCCTCTGTGGTCCCTGCCTGGAGATCCCTCGGCCCTCCCCACAGTGTACCCACTCCTGGTTGCTCAAGGCCAGGGGAAGGCCTGGTCCTTGTCCACTCCAGGCCTCAAGGATTCATGCAGATGAGCCACGTGGTTGCCAATATCATGATGGATTCTGGGCCAGTCTGGGGGAGATGGGAAGGGCTCCAATAGCCTACCGGCCCCTGGGGAGCTCTCAGAAGGCAGAGGGAACCCCAACACTAATATTTCCCATGCAAAGTGAGCTGTGGTTTGCACTGCTGTAGAGACAGAGCCAACCATGCGTATGTGTATGTATGTGCACGGACACACATGCGTATGTGTGGTGAGTGGGGCCAGGGCAGTGAACTCCACCTTGAGTGAGAGGAAGGTCTAAGACAGGCCCAGAACAGGTACAATTAAGATAGAGGGGGGCAGACCAGGCCAGGAGAATAAAAGCTAACACTTGTTAAGCACCTATGAGTGCCAGGCACACTACTCAAATTTTTATAGGAATCTTATTAAGTGGAGGATGTTAGCGACCCCATTTCATGGGTGAGGAAACTGAGCTGAGGCCACAATCCCCGTAAACAACAGATTAATGCCTGGAACCAGGTCTCTCCTGCCCCACAGTCTGAGTGCTGAGTGCCCCTGTGGCCCTTCTCTCCTCAGACCTGTTTCTGGGCGCCCTGTCCAGGGGAAGGGACACATTAGGAGAGAGGAGAGAGCCCCGGGTTGGAGGGTGGGGGCCAGAGCAGGTGACGTGGCAGAAGATGACTCTAGAAGGAATCTCTCAGATGGGCTTGGGTGACTGAAAGGCTGAGGGAGGCAGGAGGGGGTCACCTGCTGGGACTCCTGGGTGTCCGGCTCAGTGGTGTCCCGAAGCCGGGGGGCAGGGGGGCTGGAGGAGGAGCGAGGTCAGGGGGCGGTGTGCACATCCGGCGGGCAAGCCCTGCGCTCCACGGGCATGA